TTATAACGATCAATATGTACATTACGAATTTTACGACGAAATTTATTTCAAACAAAATATAATAACTGCAAAATAGTTATCTACTGTAAAATAGTTTTTAACGAAATCAGAGCAAATATGAACAAAAACTGACAAAATTTATCAAATAGGGCTCATCTGAAAATTAACGAATAGCGATAAAATAGCAATAAATCTGAAAATTAACGAATAGCGATAAAATAGCAATAAATCTGTTTCAGCTGTTTGTGGGTAATGTTGACGGAACCTACACACTGGTAATGAACATGCTGAACTCTGGCGACCAGGACACCAAGTTGTATTGCCTCAATCTCCTCATCGACTTCACCAAATCTGAAACTATGCTCTCCGCTTTTGTAAAGTACGGTTAAATTCTATTTTTAGACTTCTCGTGTTAGCTCTTAGCGGCTTCTTTTTTGTATTTAAAGTGAAACCAAAGTCTGTGTACAAAAAGTGTTTAATTATGTCACGTTTAATATACTACATGTGACCAAGGTTCGACCGGGATCCCGGCCAAAAAAGCGGTCCCGGTCGATCCTTGTTAACATGTCACGTATCTTTGCGCCAAATAATTTAATAAGGTGAATCCTCAGTTGTCAACAAAATCTTCTGGCGGATTTGACACAGAACGACCTACTTGATGGTGTGCCCTGTATCCGAGATAAGGTATGTGGTATTTTAATACGTTCAGTCACTCATATTTATTCTCTCACTCTTTTCAACAACTGTCACATTTTTAGTTTCCTCATATCTTACAATCTACATATATAATTCAGGCCAGAATGTCTGAAATAAAGCACGATGTTTGAAATGAATATTTTACCCACACCAGGTCTGTGAACTGTTACTACACCTCACAACCAAAGACTCAGATCTTTACACTAGAATAATGAAACTATTCACTGACGATATCACGCGGTGTTTGATAGATCAGCTTGGTAACGAGGGTAACAGTACTGCGTTGTTAGGGTTACTACACGTGTTACTGCCTGATCTTTGTGAGAACTCACAAGATAACAGAGATATCCTCGTAAGGAAGCTCACATCAAACCTCGGTAAAATAATAATCATATTATATAGGGGCCAGGGGGGAGGGGGGGGCAAGTAGAATAAAGTAGAGTAGAATTCGCAAAAAAAAGGATGACATTCTACTTTTATCTACCTTAATCTACAAAACGTTGCCCCCTCCCCCCCCCCCCCCCCCCCCCCCCCCCCCCTATATAATAGCTCACTATTAGAATTCTATGATTGTTTCATGCTTGGTTTAGAGCATTGCTGGTCATGCTCTCCTACAATGAATTAACAGAAGTACTTTAAAGAGGAAGTTATTGAGATACTGTATAATTTCAGAGAATATCCCACTCCACTGGCGGAGCAAGCAAGGTTACAACACAGTTACACTCTCCTGTCAATGTCTCAGAGTAATGCATCAAGACACACTCTCCCAGTCTGCTATCTCCTCATCCCTCCTCTCTCTTCCTGAATCAGTGTGTTCCTGGTTAGAGAGTGCTCCCAATCCGTATGACAAGGAGTCCGGTCCTCTTTATGGGTACGTTGCTAGGTCACGTGTTGCTAGGTCACGTGTTACTAGGTCACGTGTTTCTAGGTCACGTGTTTCTAGGTCACGTGTTTCTAGGTCACGTGTTTCTAGGTCACGTGTTGCTAGGTCACGTGTTGCTAGGTCACGTGTTGCTAGGTCACGTGTTGCTAGGTCACGTGTGGCTAGGTCACGTGTTGCTAGGTCACGTGTTTCTAGGTCACGTGTTTCTAGGTCACGTGTTGCTAGGTCACGTGTTGCTAGGTCACGTGTTGCTAGGTGACTGGTAAGAGAGTGCTCCCAATCCGTATAGTATGACAAGGAGTCCGGTCCTCTTTATGGGTACGTTCTAATTATCGTGCAATGGTTATCGTTTGACGGGTCGAAAATCATAAATTTTCAGCCAAAGTTCACAGTTCAAACACATCACAATTAGCTAATGTTAATTACTGATGACTTGTTTGTGAATTATCCACCTATTTAATGACTTTTACAGCTATCTTCAAACAGGACTGATTCGTGCAGAGCGCTGTTGGAGATGTTATCTCTGTGTGTAGAAATAGGACTGCATGACTACCACACTGTTCTTACTCAACCTAATCTCCCTTCTTTTATCGGTAAAATTAAATCACAAATTACTTTCCCTTTATTTTTACTTTAATATTATAGGTTTGAATCAAATACAATATGTTATAACCCCGAGAAGTTCTCAATTATTGTAGATATTGTATTGTAGTATATATAGTATTGTAGTATCAAGAGTTTAAATTCCCAAATAGTCAGACTGAGCAGGTTGAGCTGTAGTAAAACACAGTACTGAGGTGTTAAAACATTTTCATTACTATCTTCAGTAACATCCTGAATCAGAAACTCGGTTAATATCAGTTCCTACAAAGTGTAACATTGGAAATGAAATGACACAACTAAAAACGATACCTATGAATATTTTTAAAAACATAACTTTTGTGCCCCAATGCAATGGAAAACCTTTAAGATAAATCCAATAATGGAATCCCAAACGGGTCCACGGCATTGAGCCCCAATGGACGTATAGTTCTTAGTTTCTGAATATAACGGTGTTCATCCACTTCTAGAGTTCTTGGGCTACTATTACTGAGAATTGACACTTTATAAGCCTGGTTGAAATTGTCACGTTGTTTCATGTTATGAACTTCTACAAGGTGTTTACCCAAGCTGAATCCGTCGTCGTTTTCTTCAGGGACAAACGTATTGTCTGAAATGAGTTTGTAGTAATGGGCGCGATGTTCGTTTACTCGTGCCCTTAGGGGCTGCACCGTTCTTCCTACATAACACATATTACAAAGTTGGCAACTGAAGATGTATACAACATTGTAGCTGACACATGTACCAGACACTGCTTTGGCTCGCTGTCCATTGACTGTTATTGATGGATGTGGATGTATGATGTTACAGGTACCGCAGTGTCTGCCCCCACATGGTCTTGTGTGAGGTTGGGTTAAGTCATCCGCAAACTGTTTTGCTTTGACTAACTTCCTTCTAAATGATGTTCCAGTACGTCTGACGAATTTGAAGATAGGGCGTGATGTACCGGCTCTAGATGATATTGGGGAGCCTGGGGTGTTTCCACTTGTATGGGAACCAGATAATCCTGAGAAGCTCCTGGTTCTACTGAGTTCTGGTTCCAATCTTTTTACCGATTCTACTAACTCTTGATCGCTGCCAAATGTTGAAATAACGCGGACTGCTGGTTCTGGAGACTTTGGGACCAGGACACTGCTGTTTGAGTTGTCCAGTGGTTTGAGGCATCTTTCAAAGCCTTTGACTTTTTCACTGATGTTATCTACCATAGTTTTAGGGTAGTTGGATTGGGAGAAAAAGGTTTTTAATTCATCAATTTGTTTTCGGAGTCTGTCGTTATCATTGATGATTCGCCGGAGTCTCAGGCATGCACTATAGACTATGCTGCTGAATGTATGGTTCGGGTGGTGGGAACCGAAGTACAGGTAAGAGCGAGCATCAGTCTCTTTAACATGGAGGTCTGTCTGAAGATCACCTGCGGTGTCGAAACAAAATTTTATGTCTAAGAACGCCACATAAACATTGTTATCTTCTATGATGTTCTCATCAATGTGGAGGCCAAGTTCTGCTAGCCTTGTATTGACAGTCGCGATGAATTTTGAAAACTGTCTTTTCGTACCATGGAATACTCCACAGCCGTCGTCTATGTATCTCTTGACCGATTTTACAGGTTCCATTAGTTCCGTGTCTGAATAGACTTGCTCACGCATGACATGGTATACTGCTATGTTAGCAAGTTGTACACAGATACTGCCTCCTGTCGGTACTCCTCGTTTTTGTCTGTACCACTCTCCGTTAAATTTGCCTATAGACGACTCATAGCTGAGTTCAACACTTCTTATCAACCACTCCTTAAATTTGGCGGACCATTCTGGTCTCTTTTCTTCCATGGCCACCTTCAAAGCTTGGAGTGTGAGGTGGGGACTCAATGAATCATATAAAGCTTTGTAATCAAATGTGAATGCTTTAATGTTGCTTTTGAGTTCTGTGTCCAGGGTATTGTTGATGTTGTCGAGCCAGACTAAGGCGTCTCTATTATCAATAAGAAGGTCTTCGCAAAAATCCCTTTCTAGTTGACGTAGGTATTTATCAGCTAGGAAGACATCCGGTCGTCTGCTGGCTCCTTCGTGGAGGGCGGTAATGAGTATTGTAGTATATAGTATAGATAGAGTATAGATGTGGATACTGGCGGGGAGGTGATCATTGTTTGTTTACATTAATACAGGTTGTACAGGTGAGGAACAGTCACCAAAATGAGTTGCTTACCTGCTGTGTTTTGTCGTACTCTGCTCTTCGCTCAAGTTCGATCAGTGAAGGTGAGGATTGCCTCGATCTTTCGGTTTCAGCCCTAGGTCAAGAGCTGTAGATCCGAAGGATCAAAATATATGTTGCTTGTTGCTCGCATTCTAAACTATAAAACATCGATTTTGAGGGATAAGGAAGTGTTTATAGGTTCTGAAACCTAGCTAAATCGATTTTTCGTGCAATTTTAGGTTAGAAACGGTCATCAAAATGAGTTTTAAATAAGAAGGTCGATTTCTCGGTTATTTTTGAGCTTTCGTTCAGAAAATAATTCGGGGCCCTCAAAGGGGGGTAACAAGAAGGCGTTACAAGTGTTACAAGCCTTCTATAATACAAAATATGTATCACCTCCTCAGCCTGCCGAACTTGTGCTCGATCTAAAATGTAAACAAACAATGATCACCTCCTCAGCCTGCCGAACATGTGCTCACTATTAATGTAAACAAACAATTATCACCTCCCCGCCAGTATCCACATCTATTGTATGTAGATATTATAGGATGATACTGATATTTTTCATTGCATTTCAATGTTCATGTTTCACTGAACATTAACACCTGTTTAGGTAAAGCGATGCTGAGCGACGACTCATCACTGATCATCATGGCTTTGAAAATAAACGCTATATGCTTTGAGAAGTCTGGGACCTTCGCTCCCATGTTAGTTTCTTTAAACTTTTCCATTCTGATTTTAATTTATTATCGTCGTATTGTTATTTATGTAAGATAACTGATCCTTGTCCTGTAAACCCGAAGATTTAAAGCTCACTACCCAGAATTTACAGGGTAGGTAACATAATGGCTCACCACTGCACTATGGTTAGCTGTGGCTCTGATACAGCTACTCAAGAACTTCTGGAACTGAAGCGCAAATATTTGGGTTAGTTGTTGATTTATTTATTCGTGTATTATTTTTAAAATACAAGCTTTACAGTTTGTTAATTTTGCTGAGTAGAATAATGATCAAATAACCTAATTCCCAAAGGATTTGTCTCCCTATTTTGAAAATAGACACCTTTTCCCATTAGAATTACAGAAGTCGTCTTGTCAGCTAGAAGAAGACCGCTGCCCCTCACCTCCTATCCCTCTTAACTCACAAGTATCAGAACTCATTAACCAGATGAGGGATGGACTGCACATTAAAGATATCAGATCTTCCCAGCTCATAGAGATATTTCAAGAGAAGGTTTGTTATTAAAGATATCAGATCTTCTCAGCTGATAGAGATATTTCAAGAGAAGGTTTGTTATTAAAGATATCAGATCTTCTCAGCTGATAGAGATATTTCAAGAGAAGGTTTGTTATTAAAGATATCAGATCTTCTCAGCTGATAGAGATATTTCAAGAGAAGGTTTGTTATTAAAGATATCAGATCTTCTCAGCTGATAGAGATATTTCAAGAGAAGGTTTGTTATTAAAGATATCAGATCTTCTCAGCTGATAGAGATATTTCAAGAGAAGGTTTGTTATTAAAGATATCAGATCTTCTCAGCTCATAGAGATATTTCAAGAGAAGGTTTGTTATTAAAGATATCAGATCTTCTCAGCTCATAGAGATATTTCAAGAGAAGGTTTGTTCTCATCGAACTCAAAACGCTTATTTGCTTTGCTTGATTCCATGTAATATTTTGTTTGAATTGTCGCTCCGTTTTATGACAAAACCTTGAAACCTTCCGAAACGGACAGGTTTACACGCAGACCTAACATTTCTACATTTGAACATCTGTTTCAGACCTAATATTTCTACATTTGAACATGTGTTTCAGACCTAACGTTTCTACATTTGAACATGTGTTTCAGATGTAACATTTCTACATTTGAACATGTGTTTCAGACCTAATATTTCTACATTTGAACATGTGTTTCAGACCTAACGTTTCTACATTTGAACATGTGTTTCAGATGTAACATTTCTACATTTGAACATGTGTTTCAGACCTAACATTTCTACATTTGAACATGTGTTTCAGATGTAACATTTCTACATTTGAACATGTGTTTCAGACCTATCACCTAACATTTCTACATTTGAACATGTGTTTCAGACCTATCACCTAACATTTCTACATTTGAACATGTGTTTCAGATGTAACATTCCTTTATTTGAACATGTGTTTCAGACCTAATATTTCTTTATTTGAACATGTGTTTCAGATGTAACATTCCTTTATTTGAACATGTGTTTCAGACCTAATATTTCTTTATTTGAACATGTGTTTCAGATGTAACATTTCTTTATTTGAACATGTGTTTCAGATGTAACATTCTTTTATTTGAACATGTGTTTCAGACCTAACATTTCTACATTTGAACATGTGTTTCAGATGTAATATTTCTACATTTGAACATGTGTTTCAGACCTAACGTTTCTACATTTGAACATGTGTTTCAGATGTAACATTTCTACATTTGAACATGTGTTTCAGACCTAACATTTCTACATTTGAACATGTGTTTCAGATGTAACATTTCTACATTTGAACATGTGTTTCAGACCTATCACCTAACATTTCTACATTTGAACATGTGTTTCAGACCTATCACCTAACATTTCTACATTTGAACATGTGTTTCAGATGTAACATTCCTTTATTTGAACATGTGTTTTAGACCTAATATTTCTTCATTTGAACATGTGTTTCAGATGTAACATTCCTTTATTTGAACATGTGTTTCAGACCTAATATTTCTTTATTTGAACATGTGTTTCAGATGTAACATTTCTACATTTGAACATGTGTTTCAGACCTAACATTACTTCATTTGAACATGTGTTTCAGATGTAACATTACTTTATTTGAACATGTGTTTCAGATGTAACATTTCTACATTTGAACATGTTTCAGATGTAACATTCCTTTATTTGAACATGTGTTTCAGATGTAACATTACTTTATTTGAACATGTGTTTCAGACCTAACATTTCTACATTTGAACATGTGTTTCAGATGTAACATTTCTACATTTGAACATGTTTCAGATGGCGATAATGGCGACCAAGGAAGACCAGTTGAATGATCTTGTTGAAGCTAAAACGATGGCTCTTCAGCAAAGTGACCGACTATTTACACAGTTTAGACAAAGGTAACTACTTTTTATTAATTAAATAAATAATAATAATAAATAAATTACATTACAAATATGTCATTATTATTACTGATATGTAAGCAAACTACTTGTTATTAATTAAATAAATAGTAATAATAATATAAGAATTGGATGGATAAGAATTCTCAAGAAAACTCTTCTCGTCTAAAATAAAGATATGGAGATTGATAAATACTGAATTTCGGGTCACGAAACAGTACTTGAAATAATATCTAAAATAATGAAATATTAACATAATGTTCAGCGAAATATTAACTATTCTATTATCTATTGCGTCTAAAAATAAGGTAGTGACAGCACTCACATTGTCTTCTCAATCGTAACGTTGCTGGAATCGTACGACTTGAGAAAATGTCTCTATCTTTTAAAAGTATCTATTTGTATGATACTTGAATATTTTACATAGTCTCAAAGAGCATCTTCAGCTTCCTGATAAATATTGTCAGCCTCATCTTTCGTACTGTTTTCTTTAATATCCGCAATCATTTTGCTGGGTTTCGCAGAGAAAGAAGCAGCTGACTGCAAGGTTTCCATCCTTGTCTCTCTGTTGGAGGCGAAACTTTTCTTCTTTTCTTTAGCAAATATTGGTTTGCCCTGGAGGACATTGAGAGTAGCGTCTTTAATAGCATTGTCGTAGATAAGAGGGTTGAGCACTGAGTTGAGAGGTAAGACGATCATAGCAAAAGTAACATACCAGTAAGTAGCATCAATCAGCTCCAGGTTGTGGGCTGCACTGATAATGATGAATGGTACCCAGCATAGAAAGTCGGTCGCCACGATTATAGTGATCCTATTTTGGAGAGCCTGCTGTTTGGACGATGCACTAGGATCCTTGTTTCTTCCTGTTCTCTTGGACGATCGCTTTGCTTTCTGCATGATCAGTATGTAAGAAACAGTGATGACTAAGAAGCACACCAGGTTCAGTGCCAGCATGAGCCACACAACCGCGTTCCCCTTGTTGTCCACCATCTCAGTAGCTGCAGACTGTCTGCTCCTCCGCGCGTCGTCACTCCTAACAAAATACTTGAATAAGCACAGTCCGTCATTACCGTAGAAGTGTACTGCACTTCTGGGCAACTCCCCGTACTGCCTGCTGAACATGTTGTCCACCTTCTCTCCTATCTCGCCCCATGTCATGTCCGCTGTGATGGCCGTGTCGTTGTAGTAAGCTTGTAGAACCTTGACGTGCTTTATCTTGGTGGGGAACCCGATGAATACTTTGTACTCAGGATCATAGAACATGCCTTGCACAAAGTAGTCCTCTAGAAATGGAGCCAAAGGTACAACAGATATTGCCACTGCTGCCAGCACAACACTCACCACCCATAGAGCTGAGTTTAGCACTGCCTTCTTGCCTACAGACTTTGGAGCGGTCAAAGAGCGGCTCATCAATCCCATCATTCTAATAGAACTGAGCACAGTCATGGCAAAGACTGATATCTGAGACCCCACTGTGCTGATGATGCCCAAAAGAGCGCACTGTGTCCCTGACAGCCATTCTGCTTGATGTCTGCAGTAGTCCTGTCCGTACACCACACTATCGTAGGTGGATAACACTACCAGATAGACCCCAATTAGCAGGTCTCCGAAACTTATAAGCGACAACAAAGCTTTGGATGTCAGCATACTGTCGGTCCTGCACGTTTTCAGTGACATTATTCCTAGGGCGACTGTGAACGAGTTAAATAACACTGCTAAGATTCCCATTGTCCAACATAGCACTTTCAGAACCCAACTGTTTAGGATTTGCTCTCCGCAGTTTCCATTGCATTCATCTGAGAGATCAAAGCAATCGTATATTCCATCGCATCGTTGCGATAATGATATCAAATGTTTTTTCATGGAGCCCAATGTATCTTCGCAAATCATGTGGTTTGTGCAGTTAATCTCATCGCTGGTATCACCACAGTCATCTATCAGGTCACACATTTGGTAATACTGGATGCATTTGCCATTGTTACACTGGAAGTACTCCTGTTGATAGTCTCCTGATTGAGACTTTGTCAAGAAGGTGAGAGGAGACAGGTTAGTGAGGGTCCCTGACTCAGGGTATACACTCAGAGTGTAAACCCGATCTGGCAACTGACCAGGACAGGAGTCGTGATAGAGAGGGCTGTATTGTAGAGGACAGGTAGAGTTCAGACACAGTCCCAAACAACTCAGATAAACGTAGTACTCCCCAAATAGCCCAGTACAGTCTACTTTAGTTGCGGGAACTCTTAGGTTGATCTGTGTTGAGCCAAAGACATCAACTGATAATCTTTTAAATGTTTTGTTGACGCAGAGGGTGTCTTTGAAAGCATCCTGAGATACACACAAATCTCGGACAGCACCAGAGATAACCGCTGACTTGTTGACGCTAGGGAAATCTCTTGCAGCTTGGCAGACCTGGTTCTCAATTCCACAAGACTTAATACCATCACAGAGGAGATCAAACTCAACATACCTGGAAACTTCTGTACCAGTCAGCATCTTCCCTCCCCTCTCCGGGCACAGGAGAACATTCTTACATCTGTGTTTTCCATCATCTACTCGCAATGTCTTTTCCTCTGAATTACCACAGAAATCCCACTCTTTAAACATCTCGTCCTTTTCGTCTCTGCAGTCAGTTTCATTGTCCATTATCCAGGAAACTGGGATTCCAAAGCTCTTACCCGGGTTGAATCTACGATCACACCCAGAGTTGTTAATCATGTGACTGCAAATGTCCAGATATTCATCACTCTTATCAGGGCAGTCGTAATCTCCGTCGCAAAGCTTGTGTTTGTGAACTGTGCAGTCGGCTGAGCCGGAGGGTGAGAAGCAGTTGTTTTGGAAGTCATCATCACACAGGTGAAATGGAAGGCGGGGGTTCTCTGGAAACGTGTTGCACAGTACGAACTTGGAAACACTTGACAAGAACCCAGCCACGAGGCAGAACCCTCCCACCCTTGCTGTATCAGTGCAGTTAGTCTGATCTAGGTAGTCTCGACAGTAAGGATAACTCCTCACCCCTCCTGACAGCTGGAATACTGAGCACCGTGTGTTTTCCATTATTGGGACGGTTACCGCGCTGGTCCACTGGGGGCACTGCTGCAGGGTTTCATTCACCTCGTTACCATAGCAACCTCTCTCGTCAGCCCCATCAGCACAGTGCTGTATCCCATCACAGATATAGTTGACAGGTAGATGATCACCTGACTCCCACGTGCAGGGTATCCCGTACTTGTGTCCGTTACACTCACTCTCATCTCCACACGTCTCCCACATCTCACACTTACCATTACACACCGTCACTGCATCCTCCGGGTCATGTGATGTACAGTCTCTGTTAGCTGCACAGCTCTCTCCGCACTTTACGAAGCCTTCCTTCCCCTCCTCACAGAAGTAGCCCTCACACAACACACTTTCTGTCATCCCTCTCTCTGTGAAGCCGCAAGCTTGGTACGCTCCAACATCATCCTCACATATCTCTGAGACCCCACTAAGAGTTGGAGCAGGTCTCCCGCGAGAGTCCTTGCCCCAGGTCGTGAACTCAGAATAGGTTACGTTGGAAAATGCACACTTGAAGTAGTAGCTGTCTTCGTTTTCAGCATCCCTACAGACGTTCTTCAGATAGTTTCCCATGACCACGGTCGTGCAGTTTTCCCCTGACTTCTGAAGCTGCTCTAAAATCTCTGTGTGCCTCCTGACCAGCCTGAAGTCAGTGCAAGTGGAACAGGTACAGAACTCTCTACTGCTGCCACACCACCCGTAGGAACTGCAGCAGGGTCTTATAGTGTCTGCATCACATTGTCCCGGGGAGCCGTCAGAGAGGAGGTATTGTCTTCCGCATCTTCCATCAGTTCTCACTCTCGCTATATCTGACGGGGATGTGGTTCTACTTTAAAATTATTAAGTTTTATTATTGAGTCTCTCTTAGCTCTTGTATTTGATTACGTCTTAATTTTGATTAAGTCGTGTCTCCAGCCCGAGGAAAGATTTACAATTCGTTACTTGTTCCTCAATGAAATAATTTGGGGGGGGAATTGTATAGTTTTTTTGTTTATTCAATACTCACCCTCCGTATCCTTACTTTCATCGTCACTTTCAGAATCTTCTAAAATTAGAACTAGGTAAGTTCAACCAAAACTAATTTCTAACTTTGTCAGAGATGGATCTTACTTAAGTGACTATAGAGATAATTACTGCATATAATAATTATATATGACTATAGTCTATTGTCTTCGTCTGTATAGTATTCTTCGTCGGCAGTATCTTCTAAGTAATAAAATAAATTTATGATCTAGAAATGTAATTTTAGGACATATAGTGTAATGTGGCCCCTATTTTACTCTACATAGTCCATAGAGTAGAATCCCGACGGCATAACAATTTCATAACCATGTTATGGCGTCGGGATTAAAATGTCATGCTTTAAATGGAAAGGACTCTAGTATGGGACTCTAGTATTTGCTAATCTAGCTTGAAATACCTTTTTGCCACCACATTTTGCTAGGAGGGTTTCTAATGGGGGATAAAAGGACTGCTGCCTCAGAAGTACTGTAGTACTTCAATGTATGTTCCTCTCCAGCAAATACGGCCACTAAAATCGTCTTCTCATCGCTTCGGCTCCAAGATCCTTCTCTATTTTTGTATCTGTACTTTATTTTCCCGTCTGACAGAAATTCCAGGAGCCCTCTTGGCAGTGTGCCATCAAAGCTCCACATCCAAACAGTTCCGGACATGTTCGGGAAGGTGAAGTCTGAAAATAAGGAAATGATTGTTTAGATGTGGCAATAAAATCTCTTATTGTAACCAAACCTGGAGTGATTTTGAGTGGTATGGATGTTTCCTCTGACCTCTCTGGAATGAAATCATTAATCTAAGAGGTAACTATGGTAACTATGGTAACTAAGATAAGGTAAGTCTCACCTGAGCCACCCCTGTAGTCTACGCAGGTTCTACATGAGCAGTGTTGTAGTGTGTTCCCGCACCACCCAATTGAAGAACAACAG